CCAAAACTACCCCTTATAAGGTAAAAGAACTAGAAAAAGCAAAACAAAAACAAACCAAGGCAAAAACAAAACAACGGAAATGACAAAACGAGAACGAACGTTTTAGGTTCTATATTATGGGCAGAGGCCATTTCTTTCTTTTTGAAGGGGGCAGTGTATCATCCTACCAAAAATAGAGCCTACAAATGAAAGTTTTGTTATATTTTGTTTTGTTATATCTGACTGATTTTGATATACAGTTGAAATATGTGGAAAAGGTGTGTTGTTGTTTTATTCTCCATTTTTTCTCAGAATGCCAAAAAAAAATTTTTTTGGAGATTCCTACTACGTGTTTATGAAAGAGAAAAATACGTGGAATCAGTCCAGAACACTGTGTCATAAACAGGGAGGCGACCTAGTTTCCTTTGAAACCGAAGAAGAGTGGGATTTCATCAAAAGCGTCATTGAGTATTACAATAAGCCAAACGGGACGACTCGGTGGCAGGTTGTTTTAGAAAAAAAGGCCGGCAGCTGGATCTGGCTGACTGGAAGACCTCTTACCATTAGCAAATGGGGAAAAAAACAGCCAAATGGAAAAGGAGATGTAGCTGCAATAAGATGGACACGAAAGGACAAGGCCATTATTATTGACGTTCCAAGGAATAGGTCTAGACCTTCTATTTGCGAAGTTACCAAAGGTAAGACAATAAACGGAAACTATGGAGTCTTTCACTGCTAAGATCAAGTTTCTGCTTCGGACATGAACTTGGTTTTGAGTAGCTATGGTTGTGTTACTAGCTGCGATACGTATTTTTCAGTAATGCAAAAAGTAGCTGCCGTTAACTCTAACTAAATCATTGCTTTATTGCAAAATATTGCTGCTAAGGGATCAATTTGTTCTCTTCCTACGTTTAAAATTCAACTTCTAGATCTTTTGTTTATCATTTGCAACATTTCGCGTGTTATTCAGGTATTGGACATAATTATTCGCAAGGCTGCGGCAAGCACGTCGTAATACCTTGCAAACTGGAATATGGCAAGAAGAGCTGGGTACAGAATTGTACATTTTCTGCCTATAATTTCAAAATAAACTGCACTGTTGGTACTTGTGAGCCCTCTTCCGGCGAACTTCATGCGGAAAAAATGTGTGCTAAGACTTTCAATCTATTGGTACAACAATGTACTCACGAGTCACACGTGGCCGTGGGCAGTACCTATCACCAGACTTGCAACGCTACAATGTGTATCATAACAGAGCGCGAACAGAAATGTACCACCAAACACACTTGCCATTGTGAAGGTGATCAGTGTAATCACAATTGCAGTCGCATAAGGTGTACGCAAACTTGCAGAGGAATAAAAACCGGTAAGTAGAAAAAGAAAGCTAATAATGTTGTTTATCACTGACATGTTCAAAGTGTTAACTAAATGAGCAATTTGAAATAAAATTCAGAACGATTTGTTTTTGTCAGATCGTTTTATTGTCATCGTTTATACTTGCGCTAATGTAAAACGGAGTGGTGTTTCCTTTAGGAGCGAAAAGTTGTAACGAAAGAGGTGCCTTTGAGAACTTAGAAGGCTATTTTGATTTCAGTCTTGTCTCAGTTTTCAGGGATCACTATTTTAGACTCGAGCTCAATTGGAGCATGCGAGCGTGTATTCAAAAAAGTAAGTTTACGAAAAAAAAATCAACCTACATTTTTACTTATTTAATAAAGCAAGCAGACAGGTAAGCGGTATAATTGTTGATTTTCCTAATATACGAGGGATAATCTGTAAAACGCACGGAAACAAATGCAAAAATAATAAATTTGCTACAAGAAATCATAATTTAGTCCCTCTTGATTGCACTTTCTAATTTCAACATTTTCAGGGGAGGTCTCATCATGCTCGCTGTCGCCGTCACCATCACTGTCACAAAAGCCTAACACGCCGTCGCCGTCGCCGTCGCCGTCGGCGTCGCCGTTGCCGTCGCCGTCGCCGTCGCCGTTGTAGTCTCCGTCGCCATCGTCGTCGTCACAGATACCACCAACAGCAGCATCATCACTTTCATTGCCGTCAATTCCAAAGTTGGTGCGTGTTTTAATAAATCGTAGTCCTTGTACTTCTCATTTTTTTGGATTTTCGATGGCGCTTCATAAAACTGATTGCCAATCTATTTATCCTAGGCAAATGAATCTCTTTCCAAACTTTACAGCATAGACATCACCAAAAATACTTCTCTGCAGGTATCTGAGTTTGATATTGACTTATTTATCATTATGCAAAATGCATGTGAGATAATTGGTGACATGCAGGACAATGACGAGTAAATGATTTGTTGGAATCAAATTTTCAAATGGGAAGATTAATGATGTTACGAAATATTACATGAAATCAAGACATCAAAATAACTGGATACTTGATCCTTAGGGTAGACCTCTACGAAAAGGAATGGAAGGTAAATTATGCAAGGTTAATTTCATCCTACTTCATTATCTTTTTCTGGTTGACGCTGTGGATATCAGTCAGTGGATATCAGTTGCGTTGTTATGGGAATTTACTAGCTTTTTTAATTTTTTAAAAATTTCGCTAATGCTCAAATGAGGCCGCAGGATGTACTTTGATATCTAAAGGTAAAAATACAGGAAAACGAAATAATAGTGGAGTTATAAGGCATTTTATTCATCGGTTTTTATATCATACGAGCAGACATTTCGCTGATTGTTCGTTTCTCACTTCTACTATCATACTACGCTGGACGCACTGGTAGGCTTGTGCGAAGCTAGCGTGGACAGATAAACCTCTTTAAAGTTTTTAACTGTCGAATTTAACTATCACTCGCCAGCTAGGCACAGAACACTTGGATCATTAATTTGACTGAAGCTCGTTACAACTGCTTTGCATCTTCTCAAATGAATTTTTAAGTAATTACAGAAGGCTATGGGGATCTTTGAAGACTTCATTACCAGTATCGAAAACGTCACAAAACTTGTTGACGGCCAGTTTGATATGGAGGAAGTAGGAGAAAGGAGAGAATCCATCTTTAAAGTGGGAGTCATCATCGAAGAAATTGCTTTAAATTATACCAAATATCAGCTGGACAGAAGAAGGGATTCAAAAAAGAATCGATAGCCAGAAAATGGGTGAGTCGGAACACAGATACCTATTAAGATTTATGATTATCAATTTCATATTTCTAAGATAAGTGCTGTATTTTGACGAGCCTCTAAGGTGAGTCAAAATACAAACAAAGAGTAAAAATACTCGGTGATCCTACACAACAAAACGTTTAATAAGAGATTTATCATCCAACACGCCAAATGCATTTCAGTAATTTTCTATTGCGTATTTATTAACTTTGTTATTTGGTTATTCAACTAGTTATTTTAGTGTGATATTTATGTAGCCTTAACTGTAAAAAAACTGAAATACCCTCGTAGGGAGTTGCAATAATGTATGTATGTATGTATGTATGTATCTATCTATCTAATTTGGATATATCAACAAAGTTGAAATGGTAAATTGGCCACCGTAATGATTACAAAAGCTGACGTTTCGAGCGTTAGCCCTTCGTCGGAGCGAATAGAGGAATTGTGGGTTGTGTGTGCTTTTAAAGGCAGAAAATGGAGCTACGTTATTGGTGGGTGCATGGCAACGAGAAAAACATGAATAAATTAGTGGAATGAAAAGCGTTNAGCAACATATGGCAATCTGCGGTCTTTCCTTGCACTTAGGTGGCACGGAAAGCCGTAAAAATCTTGAACAAAAGCTCATCTTTCAAACCGGCAGTCTAAATCCCACAGGGATCAATGAACGCTTTTCATTCCACTAATTTATTCATGTTTTTCTCGTTGCCATGCACCCACCAATAACGTAGCTCCATTTTCTGCCTTTAAAAGCACACACAACCCACAATTCCTCTATTCGCTCCGACGAAGGGCTAACGCTCGAAACGTCAGCTTTTGTAATCATTACGGTGGCCAATTTACCATTTCAACTTTGTTGATATATCCAAATTATTTCGTTACTCCCACCGACGCAGCCCCAAACAGTTTCTTTCGAAACTATCAGCCTTTATTCATATGTATCTATCTGTTGTTATTTCAGTGCGTGCGAATTTGGCCGATATTTATTTCAGGGGAGTGCGTGACAGCAGTATGCGAAGCACAACGGAATTGGCGCTGATTCTATTTTCTTCAGTATATGATGCAATTTCATTGTCGTCTGGCTGCTTTTCTTCGTTCGATTTATCTAAAAAACTTGGATCAATATTCGCCAGCCATTTCGATTCATCGTCGTGAGAACAAGGGTTTGAATTGTCCGCCATGTTTTTTCGTAACTTCAATCCAATTCGTCGCTTGCGCGATCTGAGAAAACCTGTCTAACCGGTTCTCTGAAGTAGAATACCACGAAATGTTTGTATTCGTCTAGGGCGTTACTTGTACTCTACGAAGTACAGTTGGATGATCATAGGTTATATTGAATGCTAGGGTCAACATAACTCTAGCTAGGGTGTTCTTTCCTGAATGAATGAACTATCACCTACATGAGCTAATAAATATGGCAACTGCTAATTGAGAAACATCACTGTCGGATCAAATCGAGCCAACAAATTCCTTTATTGGTACTTTGCTTTTTCTGTAATAACGGGAGAGAGAAATTAGGATATTAATAATAAATAAATAAATCAAATGAAAAAAGAGTTGACTAAAGGATAAGAATATATATAACGAAAAGAAATGACCAATTTCTATTGTTTACAACATGCATAGTTGGTTGTTTAGAGAATGGAATTCGTTGAATGAAAGATGCTGCGAAGAAAAGCGTGTACATAGTCTTGGAGCAATAATACCAAAATGCAGTAAAAGCCTGCCCCGAAACCTACCTGCTCATAAATGGTTCATTTTGATTTCATCCCGGGTTCATTAATTTTGTTTGACGTCATTCGTTGTTCTTTTCTGTCAGTTCTGAGTATCAAAAAGGCCTCCCGCCGAAACGCAAGCGGATTCCATTTAGGGAAGGAAGAATGGCAAGCGAGCATGAATGTTTCTTCTGAAAATTTTGTGGATTATGGTTTGTATCGACAGCCTTTTAAACTTTTAGATATACAATAACCTTCTGATCTCTCGGTGTGTTTGTGTGGTGATGATAAAGTTCCCTTATAAATGATAAATTACACAATCAGTGTGCTTTGATTTTCGCAGTTTTTGTTTTCTTTCTCTCCTTTAAGGACAAGTTGTTGTTGGGTGCGTGTACAAGGATCTCCATGAGTTACTACAGTTGAAACAGCCCACAAAGAAAAGAACAGGCATTACAAGGTTATGTAACTTCTCGTTTGCTGTTGTTATCACGCATCAATATCCGAAACAATTTTCACGCTCAATAAAGTCGATGTCACAACACCTTTACGAGATCTTCGACAAGGCATGTGGCTGAAATTCGTTGACTTATTTAGTGTTTCAGAAATGAAGTCAACTGAAGTGCACCATTTGTTTTGTCAAAGTTGCTACATTATCCCAATCTGCTTCACTTTCGAGTACAATTTTCTTCACAGGCATATAAGCTCCAGGATAATGGTCATCGCTATGAATCCAAAACCAGAAAAATTGCGACAAAATGTAATCTTGAAGTTCAGAAACCTAGAGGTAACAGCAAAAGTAAATTGCTATCACCTGACCTTCTTTGAGTTGAATTTTTTCATAAGGATAAATAATTTTTCAGGAAGAAGGAAGGAAGAGATGCGCGTTTTGGAGTGGCAGAGAAAGGTGAAAAACTAGAATATTTTCTTTTTGTTTACTCTGGAATTAACTTTTCCTCGAGCTCAAACTAACTGAAGATGATATTCATGTTATTTTGGTTGGGAAATTACCGAAAGTGAATCATGATACCGTTCATGAAGAGGTCTTGAAGAGGTCTTGAAGAGGTCCGCTCATCAGTGAGATCTCGCGAACAGCAAAAAACGAAGAAACAAGTGTCAAAAACTCCCCAATGGAAAAATATGAATCACCGTAACTTGACACAAAGTTTACAAAACGCCAGTGACTGTCAGTTGTCTTTTTTTTCTTTTTTGAGAAAGTTTTATCAGTTTTTATGTATTTTAGAATTACTTTTCCTTGTTTTTTTGTGTGGCTGATAGATAGATAGTTATGATCTCTTTAATTTTGTGCGTTTGTTTCTTGTTTATGCGTTGCCTAATTTAATTTTTTTTATTACGTAAGGTAGGGTGTAATTGTCATTTTCGCATTTATTTCAAAACTGTACCCAGCCCCCCATCGCAGAGTCTGAGAGTCAACCTATCAAAATTCAAATCTACGCGTAAAAGGAGAAGTTAATATTGATTTTTCATCAAAATCGAACGCAGTGGACAATATTTTGACGGTCTAACTGATCGATGTAAACCAAAGTATCGTGTCTGAATAAAGTTCTATTATTATTATTATTATTATTATTATTATTATCATTATTATCATGATTATTAGATATTTTAACACATTTTTTTCGACTTTCAAGCATTTTTTCATAATTTTTGCTATAACTTTTTGCGATTATGGTGAATAAAGGATTATATTCATTAAAAAATATTATTATTATCATTATTATTATTATTATTATTATTATATATTTTTTTTCATGTTGAGAATATGGACGTATTGGGCGGAATATGAAATCATTGAATCAATTGAATTAGTTAAAGAGGTCATTCATCCTCTTCCAGTTCCATGTCAGACGGATTTTCATTAAAAGGATGTGATCTAGTTACATCGGAAAGAAACCCGGAAGAAACAATTTGCAGCTGCAATCATCTGACTCACTTTGCTGTGTTAGTCGACTACAACAGCGACTCAAAGGTAAAAAATTGATTTTCACTTCAACTCAGCATTGTTTTAAAATACAACTTTAGGTTGATAAACATATCTCTCGCTGCTCTTTATCACATTTATGACGCAGCTCACCGAGGAGGACGAAACTATTCTGGAAATTACAACCTATGTGGGACTAAGCCTTTCCATTATTGGGATAGTTTTGACAATTATTCTATATTCCTTCCTCACGTAAGTACTATAAACATGCCACTAAATAACTAGTATTTTACATAACCTCGAAACTTTCTGGCTCATATCAGACTAGTTCATTAAAAAATAATAGGAAAATTAGAAAAAAAAATTAAAAGGAAATTAAAAGAAAATTTAAAAAAAGATAAAATGGTAATTATAGTTGAAAAGGACGTTAAAATAGAATAAAGATAGCGACAATGACTAAAATAGATCAACTGGTATGACATAAAATGAGTAGCATACGTTGTCAAAAAATGCTTTGTCAGTTTTTGCTCTATCTTGTTTGTTTGTTTGTTTCAATAGAGATGTTCGTCAGCCTCTGTCTCAAATACGACTCAGTCTTTCTGTCTCCCTTGGAGCTGGATAAATGATATTTCTCGCCGGTAAAAATGCCACAAAAAATAAGGTTGGTGACATTTCCACTCTTTAATCAATAATTTTTCGGGGCTTAATACATTCTGTGGAAAGGAGTATATATATATATACATAAATATATATATATATATATATATATATATATACCTAACTGCAGACAGTACTGTTTCGGCCTTCTGGGCCTCATCAGTGCAGTGCTAATGCTAGGATGGAGGAGAACCAATGTGGTCACCCCAAACGATCCAACCTTTGTGGTATCGTCTAAGTCATGCCAGAGTGCTCAAACTAGAGTACACTAGCGAGCATGCGCAATTGCAGAGCAATGACTCATCCTAGTTAGAGTGCTCAATTTGGACATGAAAGCAAAGCTTTGTATGCCAAAGAGCTATATCTAACTGCAGACAGTACTGTTTCGGCCTTCTGGGCCTCATCAGTGCAGTGCTAATGCTAGGATGGAGGAGAACCAATATGGTCACCCCAAACGATCCAACCTTTGTGGTATCGTCTAAGTCATGCCAGAGTGCTCAAACTAGAGTACACTAGCGAGCATGCGCAATTGCAGAGCAATGACTCATCCTAGTTAGAGTGCTCAATTTGGACATGAAAGCAAAGCTTTGTATGCCAAAGAGCTATATATATATATAACTGCAGACAGTGCACACTGTTTCGACCTATGTGGGTCTCATCAGTGCAGTGCAGACACTGGGCCAAGCTCTGGAATAAACCATTGCCTGGGCGCTACACTTGTGGGACCAAGTGCAGACA